TTTAAGCCTTGAAGCTTGCCACCCGGAGCTCCCTTGCTCCTACCCACACCCAAATGCCCACTAGCTCAGGCACTCGTCCCTTCCGCTTTCCGCAGCTCCTGGTCGGAAATAACCACCACGGCCTGCAGGAAAGAATGAGGCGTGCACCTGTTGTTGTGGAACAATGGGCTGTCTGGTGCTTTACTGGGTGCCTGGCACATACTTGGAGCTCAGTACATGTTTGTGGGATGAATGAATTCATAAAGCCTAGCAACCAGCTGGATGGACTTTTTTCCTTCTCATTATGTCTTCCGCTGTGTATAAGACCCTGAGTATAGAATGGTCCTTTCAGCCAGATGACAAAAGTGGGTCAGATTGCATTTTTCAGCACCAAGAAAGGACCAGCCAGAAATGATGGCAGAGAGGGTGGGGCAGGATTTGGATCACCCACATTCCAGTCCAGGAATTAAGCCAAGCATAGTGTCAGGGTTAGAACTTGGAAGAGCAAACCCAAGAATACAAAGAGCAAAGTGCAAAATCCAAGGACACCTCGGGGGACAGAAGTCCGCAAGGGCACTGAGAATGAAGCAAGATCCACCTGGCCAGATACATCTGGAGACTGTCCTTAGCATGGTGCTTCCTCTCCAGATGCTACCCACCCCCACCCACCTTGCCTCATATCCCAACATTACCTGTAGCAAAGGCCTCATTCTCTGCCTCGATAATGGGTTTTATGTTCAGCAAAACAGTTTTACCAGCACTTAGAGAAGACTTTCCCGACTCAGACGAACTGATGGGCCCAGTGCTACATACTGTTCGAGCAGTCCCCATCCCCATTAGAGTGTCACAAATTGACACTTCAAGGCAGTAAGTGTGGTGGCGGTTACAAACACAAATTCTATTGCCAGACTACCTGGGTTCAAACCCCGGCTCTGCCACTAGCAGCCTTGAACAGATGTTACAGTCTCTCCGTGCCTCAGTTTCCTCTTTGGTAAAACGGGAACGAATAATAATACTGTCAAATAATAAGAAATATATATATTGGTCTCTGCCCCTGGTTTCTGCTCATATTTGGTCTTTGACCCCAGTTCCTGAAACGGAGATCCTAAAACCCTTGTCATTCCCTGAGTGACAGGAGTGTCTGACACAGAGCTCCTAAGTGCCTTGGAATTTCTGGGTGATGGGAGCATCTCTTGATCTAATGAGGTGATTCTTGGTGGGCCCTGAATGACGGCTGGTCACCAGAAAGACCAAAGTTTGGAACAGAGGAGAGGGGCTGGAAAGTGAGTTAATAATCCACCATGCCTACATGATGAAGCCTCCATACAGATCCTGAAAGTATGGGGTTCAGAGAGCTTCAAGGTTGCTGAACACATCTGCGCATACCAGGAGGATGATATACCCCAGGTCCATGGGGACAGAAGCTCCTGTGCCTGGGACCCTCCCAGGCCCTCACCCTATATAACTCCTCATCAGACTGTTCATCTGTATCCTGTCTTACATCTCTCATAATCCACTGCTAAGTGTAAGCATTTCCCTGAGTTCTGTACCACTGCTAGCAAATTACTGAACTCCAGGACAGGTGGTGGGGACCGCACTTACAGCCGGTCAGAAGCACAGATGACAACTGAGACTGGTGACTGGCCTTGAAGAGGGGGCGGTGTGTCGGGACTGAGCCTGCAGCCAGTGGGACTGATGCTAACTGCTGGCAGATAGAGCTACAACTGAATTGAACTGTAGGGCACCCAGCTAGCGTCACAGAATTGGCTGGCATGGAAAACCCCCACACAGCTGGTGTCAGAAGGACTGTGAGTAGGAGAATCCAGAACAGTGTGGGTTTCCCGGACGAGTCCCTACTCCAGAAGGTCACTGCGAGGAGTCGCAGAGTTAACAGAAATAGAGTGCCAAACGCATCCCTGCAAACATGGCTCATGCTAGAGAAATGTTTGCCAGTGTAATCTGGAATGGGATGATAGTAAAGACTTGGAAAAAATGTTTCCAAAATGAGTTAAACAGGATAAGCTAAGAAGCAATGACCTTGTTACAAGGCAGGAATGTTTTTACGGAAATTGACAGACAAAGAGAGGCCCTGTTTCAGCTAAGCACACTCTTGTTTTGAGTGGTTCACCAACAGCTCTCCGATCTTGGTTGTGCGTCTGGCACGGGATCTGAAGTGGAGCTAGACGGAGCTTTCCAAGTACGTGTGCAAAGAGAAACCGCATCCTTAAAGCCCCTGCAGAGAGCACTGGTGGAGGCTCACGGAGAGGGCTCAGCTCTGTCTTGTATCAGAGATTCCGTTTTTCCTTCCCTGAAAAGGCACCTTGCCCCACAGAGGAGGCATGGAAGCTCCATAAACTGTAGCTTTGTGCAGAGGGAAGGTCTTTCCATTACGATTATTGCTCAGAATTCTGCCCACCTGGAGTCCTTCAGAGATCCTGTCTCCGCAAACTCAGGAAGCCCAGGCTGGACTGCCCCCTGAACCTTGCTGCCTCTAGAGCATGCTTGCAAGGGAGGCCTGCCCTTCGGAGAAAGACCGCATGGCCCAGTCCCCTCCACCCTTCACCTTCCTGTTTCTCTCCCATGGAAGTAGGAAGGAATAGCGACAGGGCACATCTCTCGATGAAGGGGTAAGGGGCTCCGGCGTCAGTTGGCTCCTAACAACACAGCCGTGGGCTACCCTCAAAGGCCAGGATTTGGCATCTGGACACATGGGGTTGAGTCTCAGCTCAGCTACTCATCCAGCTGTGTGATCTCAGACATAACCCTTACTCTTTCTGTTCCTCAGTTTCCTTAACTCTGAATGGGGAGAATGTGCCAGTTCCTTCCCTACCTCTGGGGCAGGTTGGTGTGGTCCAGATGTGGAAGGGCATTCTCAACATGTCAAGCCCTGTGTAAATACCAGTCATTGTTATAGTCATGCTGCAGTCTGTTTCCATAGCTTCCTTCTCAGTTCCCCTCTAATTTGGAACAAACGTGCTTTGAGCGAGGCCTGAGCTGTACGTCAGAGCTGGCTGCAAAGTCTGCAGCCCCTGTGTGGGCCAAGATCAAGGCGAAGGCCCCTGCAGGAGTCCTGGGGCCCCAACTCCTCTTGAGGACCCTTTTCCCGGAGCCTCTAGGTTCTGCCCGCATCAGACCTGCTTCTCTGCAGCCCCAGGCGTGGTCTCTGCAGCACTACCAGGGGGCTGAGACCCTGTGGCATTGAGATAAAGTCACCTTTGGGACACCCCCACAAGCCAACCCCATCCCAACACCTGCCCCCTGCCATCGTGCCCCAAGCTAGCAGCACCTCTCACTGGGATAGGCAGAAGCCTCCTAACCGGTCTCCCTGCTCCCTCCCAGGCTCTTTCAGTCTGTTCTCAACACGGCAGCCACGGGGGCCTTGGAAAATGACAATCAGAGCATATTACCAGTCTGCTCGAGCGCTTCCCTTGGATCCCCACCGCACAGAGTACAAGCCACACCCCGTGCAGCAGCCTACAAAGCCCCAGAGCCCCTTGCCCGCGAGTCTCAACCTGGACTGCACACTGGAATCACCCGAGAGCTCTAAACGATACAGATACAGAGGGCCACCTCTGGAAACTCCTATCTAATTGGTCTAGGGCGTGGCCCTGGCATCAAGATTATTCTAAAGCTCCCTATGAGTTGAATGTGCAGCCAAGTTTGAGAACCACTGGCCTACTTGATCTGCTTCCTGTGGCCCCTCTGACCTCATCTCCGACTACCGCCTTCTCCCTTGCTCCGTTCCAGCTGCACGGGCCTCCTTTTTCAAACATGCCAAGCACACTTCTACCTCAGGACCTTTGTACCTGCTGGTCCCTCTAACTAGAAAGTTTCCCCCCAGGTATCCACATGGCTTGCTTTGTCATCTCTTCTGGATATTTGCTCAAATGTCACCTTCTTCGTGAGGCCTTTTCTGACCACCTCACTAAAAACCTAACCCCTCCTCCTATTCCAGGAAGTCCCTATTTCCCTCTCCAACTTTCTATTTCTTCATAGCATTTACTACCATCTAACATGCTACATATTTGACTTTTTTGTTTTGTTTATTATGTGTCCCTGCCCATCTAGAATGCAAGCTCTGTGAGGGCAAGGATTCCTGTCTATTTTGTTCACTGCTCTATCCCTGTGCCTAGACTATGCTGGCGTATATAAACGCTCAGCAAATATCCTTTAAATGAATATATATACTCTTCTAGCTCTTGTAGATCCTCAGCTGCTCTTTCATCCCTAGAGTCCAGCCAAGTTCTCCTTGGGCCAGGGAAAACCATACTCAATTATACAGTATACAGCAGGTGCTCAATAAATGTCTATGGAACTGAACTGAACTTTTCTCCCTAAAAGAACATAGCCTCCAAACCCAGCAGCAAGATCTTTCCTGAAAAAGATCTTTGTATTTTTCCTTCAGATATAAGCTCACTGTAGTTTGCAGCTTTAAGAAAAATTTAAAAATAAGGAGAAAGAGGGGGAAAGAAGGTATGGGGGGAGCTCACAAAAGTTAATGAGATTTTCTCAGCTGTGGTACATGCCCACACTTTTAATAATTAGGAGTAGTAAAAATTCTAACTGAACCTTAAAGGAACATCTTCTGTAACAAAGAGAGAAGTCAAGACAGACTTCTGTGTCAGGTGTAATGACTTATTAGCCCTGGAAGATGGATATACTTTAAATACTAATTTATAGAAAAAAATAATTGTTCATAAAAATGCAACTAATTGGGTTAAAAAGACTTATTAACAGGAACACCAGATGATTCTAGAGCCCGTGAGGAATAAATTGGGTTATTAATCCTCAACATCTCTCATGGAAGAAGACTTCCCCCTGCTTAGCAGATGGAGAAACTGAGGCTCTGGGAGGAGGAGGAGAGTGACTTGCCCCATGAAGGCTGAGGGCACAAACCCTGGCTGAAGCAGGAGAGGGACCCAGGAGTCCGAATGCCCTGTCCTGACTCTGTTACCGGCACCGTGGTGACCCCATCTCCTCACAGGCAGGTCGAGAAGGGCCCAGCCACTGACTCTGCTCACCCACTAGGTCTGAGGTCAGGCAGGGGCCGGTCGAGGGGCAGGCGGTCACTCAGGTAGGCGTTGTAGCCGTAGTACTGGAACTGCTTCAGGGCTACGCGCCGGCCTTCAGGGCTGAGCTCCTGGCCCCAGTGTGCAAACAGAGAGGAGTCTGTGAAGGGCTCAGCCTCTGCCTCCTCAGGCTTGGCGGGAGCCTCTGGAGAAAGAAGGGACAAGGAAACAGCGGGTCAGAGTGCACCCCTACAAATGCCATGATAACCCCTTTCCCTTCCTCACCACCACCGTGGGTAAAACAATCTCATCCCCATATTTGGAGGCTGTGGGGAGAATAGACTATAATCCTCATGCTTCCTCAAACTCATTTATCCATCCATCCATCCATCCATCCATTCATCCATTCATTCATCATCCCTTCATCCATCCATTCATCCACAACCACTAGGCACAAGGGATATAGAAATATACCCTATAGGGTATACCGAGAGGCCGACGGATATGATCCCAATGCCCCATGGCTTCAAGTCAGAACTCCCTACTTTCCCCACCACAGATGCTAGCCCTAGCCCTCAAACTGGGCTTCTGCTTCTCTTTCCCAAGATTGCACCCCAACTCCCTGCCAGTCCTGAGCCTGCTCCATACCCAGGTCCTCTCACCGGGGTTCTTGTTGGCCTACCTCCCTCTCCATTGTCTAGTCTGCTATGAGTGGCCTGGCCCCGCCGAGTGCCATTCACCTGGCTCCAAGGACCCCCAGCCAGACTGCCTTCTGCTGCTTCCAGACTGTGCCTACCAGAATAGGGAAATCAGTGGCACAGAGGGATCACCCATGCACTCTGGACACTGAACAACAGGACCCCTGGTCGATTTGTAGGTAGGGGCAGCCCCCACACCAGGTCACAAGCTCATGGTTTCCCTGGAGTTTTCTAAGAAAATGAAGGGGGCATTATTACCCATAAGAGCAGGCACTTTGGATTCCACACAGACATAGATTCAAATAAATCCCTGCTACACCATTCACTGGCTACATGGTCACAAGCAAACACTAAACCTCCCTACGCCTTGATCCCCCCCATTTCTAATGCGGGTACACTAATACCAACCCACCGTCCCGCCCAGGATCTGAGAGGATTACATAAATAATGTCTATACAGCACTTAGGCCAGCATATGTCTCAGAAAAGTACACAATACATGGTAACTAGCCTAGCACCTCGCAAGGGGAGCCTGGTGAGTCATCTGAATCTCTCTTTTATGGGGGCAACAGGTAGGTCTTGCCAGGACATAGGCTGATGGGTCAGAACTTTGGCATTCATTCTGAGAGACAGGTAGTCAAGGTCAGAAATCAGAGAAATTGGACAGAGATGCCAAGCCCACTTGATGGTACCCTCCATGCTCATAACATGACGTAAGTGAGAGATGGCACCGGGAGCCTGGAATGAGACAGAGACCAGAGGAAGCAGAAGCAGGTTAGGGACAGAAGGGGGAGGCTTGGGACACTTGCCAATGACCAGTCAGCCACCTGCATGAAGCCTATGGGCATAGGACACACACCTATGCTGGGTAAAGATACAGGCTGGAGCCAGGCAAGGCCCTAAGGTTCCAGGGTCTTCCAGGTTGGGGAGCTCAGCGCTGCAGACCATAGCTCTTACTCCCACCTCCTCCTGGGGGGCTTTCATAAGAACCAGTCTGGGAGAGGGGAGGAGGCCTTCCAACACCTAGGATCCTCCTATCGTGGAAGGGGAGCTCCAGGGGCGGAAGCCCCTGTCCCTGCAGGTGCACGAAGGCTCTCTTGAGAGAAGGGGGCTTCTGTGGCTCCCTGCAAATTAGAGAGCCCTTGATTCTGAAGCAGAGCAAGCATACTGATGCCAGAGACTTTAGTGAGAGATGCCCAAAGATGTGTCATCAGGGCTGGGGCTCCCAGGCGCCGGGAGAACCTGTGGAAGGCACCTCACCTCTCCTGACCATGTCCTTGGGACATACCCCACACTGGAGGTACGTGTATCTCCTGGGAGAACCATCATAGCTAACCCCCGCTGAGTGCTGACCACCAGTCAGGCTCTGCTGTGAAGGGTTTTCCCCCATCAACTCATCGCGCCCTGTGAGCTGGGGACTATCTTCGTTTCCGCGTTACAGGTAGTGAAAGTGAGGCCCAGGCTGAGGATGAGAAACCTGCCCTGACTCACTCATAAGGAAGCGAAGTAGGGGACGGTCAGTCCCGGGAGCTCTGTCTCCCAAGGCAGCGGTCCTGACCGCTAGACCACACTGGTTCTACATGGCAGTGGGCTGGGACACACAAGAGTTGCACAGATAAACATGGCAGACCAACTTTCCTTAAAGAGAGGGAAGGAAACTCAGATATACAAAACAGATTAGGACCTAAGAAGGAGTAAAATGCAAACCATGTGAGCATTTCTATGACCAAGCAAGAAATGTGGTGGCCACTCAAAGTTCCAAAGTTCCGGAACCCAGCGCGCACTTGTTCTCCCCTCCGAGGCATGTGTGAAGGGAGGCCCAGGGCTTACGTGATCGTAAAGGTCCTCGCTCTCTCTAAAAAGATGTATGGCTCATTCATTTGGAATGTTGGGGGCAGTAAAAATCTGAATCAGTGAGCCAACGGAATCATATAATATTTAAAAGAAATGGAGTTTTACTGCTCTCACATACCTACCTAAATGGATATTACCAAGTAAAATGAGATCAGTTAATGAAAAAATTATGATTCACAATTAGACCTGTGTTGCATAAAAATGTATTATAAACATACTCAAGTCCTAGGTTCTACCACGTGCTCCCATCTTTTTGCTCAGCATGGGTATAAACCACAACAAACTGGAAAGCAATGGGTCTTGAATGATAAATCAGGGGCACAGCAGTGGCAAGAAGACCTCTCTGTTGAATTCCTGCCCAGAGCCAAGCACCATGCCAGCCGATGTCTTTACCCAAAGTTATCTCTGTCTTGCTCACGCGTGTGGACTCCATGAGGGCAGGTCGACATCTGTCTGGCTCCCTGCTGTGCCCCCAGCACAGTACACATCTCTTGCAAGGGGCTCCATAAACCATTTTAAATAAGTTAGTTGATAAGTACCACGTAGAGGTTAGTTATTAGACATGAAGAAACCAAATGAAAAGGTTAAATGACCAATCCAAGGTCACCCAGTTTGTCAGGGGGCATTGGAGAAAGGTCTGGCTCCCTCCAAACCTCACATTCTTCCCTCTATACCTCAAATGGCAAACGACAGTCTGAGGGCCAAATCTGGCCCGCCACCCATTTTGTAAATAAGGCTTTACTGGACCACAGCCTCATCCACGTGCTTACATATTATCTACAGCTACTTTAGAGCTACAAGGGCAGAGTCAAGTACATGCAACAGAGCCCATGTGGCCTAAAAAATAAAAAATACTTAACTATCTGGTCCTTTAAGAAAATGCATGCTGACTCCCTGCTCTACCTTCCATGTGATATCCAAAGGGCTGGTTAAGAGGACTGGTTGTGGAGTCAGAATCTGGGTTTTACACTCCAGATCTACCATTCACTGGTTTGGTCTAGCTTACCTGCACCTGTTTCCCCAACCAGAAAATGTCGTTGATAATATTAGTACCCTTTTCATAGAGTATGTGTGCATATTTGATGAGATGTTCCATGTAAGGAGCTTAGCACAGGGTCTGGCATAATAAATGTTAGCTCCTAAGGAACCACAGAGACCCACAACCCCACCAGGGTGCCCTTCTGACAACACTTCTTGAGTTCAGATGGAGAAGATAGATGGCTCTGCGCTGAGGTCCCCAGCTCTGAAAGATGTTGCCGCTGTCTAGCCCCCAGAGGAAGGGTTTCCATGTCCACTGACAAGGGGCCTACACTTAACTGGGTCTACACCCAACGACTCCCTTCTCTGTCTAGTAAGAAAGCAGTCTGACATGGTCATCAGCAAAGGAGGACCATCTTTGACATGTTGGTGTGACAGGAAAAGAGGCTCCAGGGAAGTACAAGGGTCCAGGGGCATCTGGACACATCTGGTGATGGGCCAGACCAAGGGCTGTCTGTCACCCTGGGATGAGGCACCTGTCAGGAGCAGACTTGGGCTATACTGGAGTATAACATTTCCTACTGGGGTCTGGACCTACTTGAGCGCACCTGACCAAGTGAGGGGGGACTCAGAAGAAGTATATATCCGGACGGCTGAGAGCTCCCCAAGGACAACTCACTCATGGCAGAGATTAAGAGGGGCACAGCACAGTGAACACAGCCTGGAGCAGAGCCAGAGTTTAGAGGGTTCTGAGTACAGCACAAACCCTGTAATCCTTGCCCATTTCTCACCCAGCCCGGGGGCTTGTCTGGGTCCTAGGGACAGCAGGCCGGCAGCGAACACTGAAAGGCCATTCCACCAGACAGCCACGCAGAGGGTCCGACTGGCACCGTGTAACACAGAGGCAGGGAAGCACTCCCCCCGCCTTCCCCCACTATGAGCCCTGTGGCATGGGCAGGCGGGGAGCCCCAAGCAGGACATGAGCAGACCCGCAGGCCGGGGGAAGACACTGCCATGCTATGCCCCTCTCTGCACCATACCCTCCAATGGCCAACTGTCTCCGCAGCATGAAAGACCGAGTCCCTACACTTAGTCCCTAATACTTAGAAGACCCTACAAGGCTCCTGGTGATCAAGACCCTGAGAGCTCACCCGCTCCCCGCCCCCACTGCCCCCTTGTCTTCTCTACTCCAGCCACACTGGCCCCTCACCAGACTCACCAGGCACATCTCACCTCAGGGCCTTTGCTCTTGTGCTTCCTTCTACACCCCATGGCTAGCTCCCCTCACTTCCTTACTCAGAAGTCATTTTCTCAGCAAAGCCTCTTCTAAACATTCGATCTCCGTGTTCCCTCTGCACCCACTGAAGTCCTTCTTCTATTTGTCTTGCTTGTTGTCTTTCCCAACTCAAACGTGAGCTCTGTGAAGTTGGGGATTTGCTCTGTTCTCTGAGGAACCCCCAGGGCTTAGGACAGTGCCTGTTCTGGCAGGTGCTTAAATGAATATCAGGAAGATGAATGAATGGAGCAGTAGCAGTATGACAGGAGAGGAGAGCCCCCCAACCGTTAGGGATTCCCCACGTCTTCAGAGGGAGTTGAAAGGGGCCTGGAGTCCTGTGTCAGCAAGTAGGAATGTGAAGCCGGTAAAGGGCAGGGCAAATTCCATTTGTGAGCAGTTCATTTCCTACCTAGTTCACTTATACGAAGCCTTTTGAGATTATCAGTATGCTTTTAGAAACTTCTTAGGGAGTTTCATGGAATGTGGTCATTGGCAGACAACGCCCCCCACCCCCAGGACTCTTTGGTAAATCTCTTACATCAGAAAATTACCTGGAATCTCTCCCAAGCATCCAGAACAGGACTGTGCACAGAGAAACCACCCCAGAAAGCATGGGAGAAGAGAACTAAGGAAGGAGGGAGGAAAGGCTGTGTGTGTTTCTTGCCTCTTCCTCTTTCTACTCTCACCTGGAAGAGCTCAGAATGAAAAGACCACAGGAAGGCTCCAAAGTCCCAGAAACCCAGATGCAGGGGACAATCAGGTGGCAAGACCCAGAGTCTTCAGAAAACTAACCTAACACGTCTTCAGGGAGTTTCTGACCCAAACCACAGAGCCTCAGAGAGACTGAGAGTCAGGTCAGGTGGCCCCATTCCTCCCCAAAGTTCCCGCAGACATGTGGCTGCCAGCCTTCCTCCTGAGCTCACCCCTGGCTTGGTCTCTAAGGTGCTTGCTGCAGAAATCCCTGTCAACAAACTCAAGGGGAGGAGTCCCCTGAGAGGTCACTAATCGCTCCACCTTTTGAAGAGAAAAGGCACGTTTGATGGGTCTGTGCAAAGCATGACATTTCTGACGCTGAGAAAAGAGGCTGACTTCTTCCTCCTCTTTGACATCTCTCAGAGGAACGGGCCTTTTGCTTTGTGGGCACTGCCCCTCTGGCCCAGGGAACAGCCATTTCTGCTCATCCCTAGATTGCCCTCTCGGCCAGCATGTGGGAACTGCTGCTCGGTCAGCTTTATCCCTAGGGGCTCCCCGTGGCTGCACCTCCTTCACTGCTGGGCTTTGGGAGTCACCGTCAGCTCTGCCCCAAAGGGAGTTAACTCTTCTTATCAGACAATCAACAAATACTCAAGCAAGTGTATTGTGCACCAGGCCTATTGCTGGGCATTGGAAATATAAAGACCACTCAGACTCGGTGCCTCCCCTCAAGCAAATCCAGTCTAATGGAAAAGCCGGTTGTACAGAGAATGTGATCAGTGCTCGGATCCAGGGTGGGTAACATGCCACTGGGTCACTGAAGAGGGAAAGGTTGCATGCAGGGAAGGCTTCCCAGAGGAGAGGATGCTCAAGTTAGATATGAAGAGTGAGATTCACAGGCTCACTCTGGAGAAGGGCACCCCTAGGGCAGGACCAATAGGAGCAAAAATGCAGAAGCAGGAGAGAGCACAGTGTGGGGCTCAAGGCCTCTGGACAGATGGCTATCCACAGTTGAAACCAGAGAAGAAGAACCGGAGCTGCTGGGGTCTCAGGAGGCCTGGGACAACAGGATGTCTGGAAGATCCATACTGAAAACTGCAAGTCTGAAAGGCCAGGATTGGCCATATCATTTGGAAATAGTTTATGAACCTATAAGCACATATATAGATATATGCCAAAGCCCAACATACTAACCATCACCAAAGGTACTGTCTCAAGTGGCAAAATACATTATTTGAGGTCCAGTGAGGAGGGCAACTGCAGGCCAATCTTGGGTGTCTACTGCAAACCCTTTGGCCTTTGAACTGATCCCTTGTACCCTGTAGCCCCGCTCCATTGCCCTGCCCTGCCAGGTGGTGAGGCCAGGCCATCACAGTGGCCTGTGATGTAGGGTCTATCCTTCCCATCACAGATAAGAGGAAACCACAGCCCGAGATGCATCCCCAGCCTCCCTCCATGTTGTGAGCCAACACGCACTGGCTTGAAGACCAGAAACGTCGGCTCCGGGAGCAGACCCAGCCGGTCTGTGCTGGTTCACTGCAACATTCAACAGCCAGAATACTTCCACAGTGCTGGTCAACAGCTGCTGCCCCGAGCCCCTCCAGGTGGCCTTGCTACCCCAGCTGCTCTGGCTCTCTTCTTGGAATACTCCAGGTCTTTCCACCGGCCAGCAACTACAAGGTGCATGCCTGGCCTGGCCAGCAGTCCCAGGACCTTGGCCCACACTGCGGCCAGCATTCATGCCTGTGCCTCGCTGGTTAAGTGTAGTTTGACTATCACTTGCTCTGAGCCCTTCCTAGGAGGCCCCTGTGAATAAGAAGGCCAGAGACCTTTCACTCAGCTCATCTGCTTCCCCCCCGTGAATGCCCAGTTCTCATCGTGCATGACGTGTTTTCCCAAAAGTTCTACCCGTGATCACATGGGGCATCGGGAAACACCACATTATGGTCTCAGAGATACGCCCACAGTGCCGCACACGCAGCCCACTAATGAGAGCAGAGAATTACAGATGCACAGCCTCCTGACAGCCTCTATGCTAATTCACAGAGACAGGAGGGAAGCGGGGCAGGAGAGCAGCTTGTGAGGCTTTGAGCAATGAATGCAACAAAGGCCACAGCTCTGAGGGTTGTGGCCCAGCGCGCCCGCCAGACCCTCAGCTCTGCCAAGGCTTTCGAGGCTCGTGAAGCCACTGATGCTGGAAGTGGGAAGAGTACTTGTGTGAGGGCGGCTGCTGGGGTGAGCAGCCCGAACGAGGGCTTGCCCAGCTGCTTTTTGCTCAGGGTCTTGGCGGTGCCGAGACCGCACAATGGAGTGGAAAGAAAATGGGTTTTGGAGTGAAACAGACATTGTGCTGCTGCCCAGCCCCGTCCACTTCTGACTGCCTGTCTTCTCCAGGACAGCATTCCTGGCCATCCCTCATCTTTTGAAGCTGAGCCCCTTAGCCGGCCCCTGCTGTGCACTTCACCGAAGCTCCGAGATGCTGCTGGCTCCTTGGAGAAGCTGCAGGAGAGGCTAAAGCCCAGACCTCCCCCTAAACAAGAACCCAAGACCCATCTCTGCTCCTTGGATTTTAGGATAAATCCTAAAATAGCAGTGGAAGGGGTCACATGGCACAGTGGCTGATGGAGGCCAAAGGGGTCTGGAGCTCCCCCTGCAGGGCTGGGTGGCAGTACCAGTTGAAGCCCGCTGAGGGGCAGGCAGAGCCACCGGGAACGAGCTCACATCACTTAGGACCCCCGGCCCGTTGCCTACGCTGAGCCACGTCTTCACTGGAAGCCGCAGCTCTGCTTCTGGCGCCTCATTGCGGGCGCCTTCAGGGGTATCTTTGCAGGAAAGTGATGGAGCCTTCTTGTTGCTTGTGGGTTTACTCAGTTTACTATATATTCCTCTTTCCGGCAGAGTTGAACAGGCTTTGAGAGCGTGCGGGGAGAGGGGCCTAGCTTCTGCCCCGCAGCCAGTCCTATAGCCACTGCTATTCCTGCTCCTACCTTCAGGCCATGCTCAAAGCCAAAGCTCTGGGTGTTCGGTGCTGAGATCCAGAACCCAGTCATGAGGAGGCAGGGAGAAAGCGGAACAGACCGGCGGGCCCGTGTCCCGGGTAGCTGCCTGCTGTGGGCACTAGAACCTGTGGATAAGGTTTATCTATGGGCCTGTCCCCTGGTCCTCCTCCTGGAGTGTTCTGGAGATCCTTCTCTCCCCACTCCTGGGGAGCTGTTCACTCTCTCTGGACAAGACCTGCAGCCTGACCCTTCCATCCTCCGCCCTCTCCTGTGGAATGGGAACAGCCTGCCAAGCTGCTGTGTAGAGTGACCATGAAGTTGGCTTTTGGAAGGCTGAAGGCTAAGCATTAAACAATGGAGTCGGCCTTGCCGAATCTCCCAGATAAGAACTCTTAAAGGATGTTCCCTTTCCTTCTACCTCATTTAATTTTTTTTAACAGCTTTATTGGGGTACAATTTATATACCATAAAATTCACCCATTTCAAATGTACAATTCAATGATTTTTAGGAAAATTTTCTTCTACGCTTGAGATGCCTTGTTGCATGCTTTATTGGGGGCTAAAAAGAAAAGGCTAATTGAATATCCAGAAATGTACATTTTTCTTGTCGGCTCTCAGTAAACTCTTGCCTGCTGGCTTCCGGCTGGTGAGAAGTCACCATTATTCCTACTAAAGAGCCTGGTGCTCGGGCCCCGCCTGAGCAGCCCAGGCCGGTCCCCTGGAGGCCCACCGCCAGAGCGCTACTGCTGAGGCTGGGTTCGCTCCACTACACAGGGATGGATGTCACCCTGAATAGCAGGCCAGTCCGGGCTGCCTTCAGCTTGCCTTCTGCTGTGTCATCCCCACAGCCCAGGATGTGTGTCTCCCCTCCCTCCCCTTCCAGCATCCAGCCCAGAGGCCCACAGCCAGCCTCTGTGCCCAGGGCTCCAGCCACAGCAAGGTGCTGAGAGCTTGTGGGAAACAATAGCCTGAGGGGCAGGAGGCCTCAGCCAGCTCTCACCTCCAACACTGGGCAAGTCCGCCGCTCCTTGATCCCCTTTTCTCATCTGTAAGATGGATCCAGTGTTTGGGTTTTATTTGGGAGAAAAAGGAGGACTTTAGCACATCATCGTGGTGCTTTTTCTTATCCTGGAAAAGCAAGACTCTGCCTCTACTGGGGCTCCCAAGGGGAAATTTTCGGGATCTTATAAACACCCTTTGATATGCTGAGAGCCCTAATAATAAGGAAATAAAGTATTCTGCATAAGGTATTTCCCCTCTCTACTTCTAGAGGTGCATTAGAATTCCAGCTAAAGGTCTTTTGCCTGCAGCCCTCACAATTAGGCTTTCTCTTCCAGGGATCCTCAGAACTGCTAAGAGAAAGAAGTGAAATCTGACAAGAGAAAGCTCGGAGCTAATCAGAAGAAAGGAGCCCTGACAGTCTCAGGTCTGACACCATTAAAATCTTCTGTGCAACGACTTTATTCGTCGAGGCAAAGGCAAATGTGGGAAAGCTTCCTCCAACATCCAAAGGATGTTGTGGGGAAGAAGTGAGACTTCTTCTCAACACTTCATGACCAGGCAGGGGGGTTTCCTGCAGGGGCTCTGGAGTCAGCTCTGCCCTTGACCAGCTGGCTGACCTTGGTCAAGCTCTCGAGCCTTTCTGAACCCGAGCTTGCTCATCTGTTTAATGGGGACAATGCTATCTACCGCTAGCTCACCGCAGAGGCGAGGTTCTGGAGACCCAGGAGTCTGACAAGGTTTCCCCGAGATAAAATCAAGGTGTTGGCACAGCTGCTTTCCTTTCTGAATGTTCCAAGGCAGAATCCATTTCCCAGGATTCTTGAATCTTTGAATCTTCTCCACCTTCTAGAGGCCACCCACATTCCGTGGCTCACGGCCCTTTTACTCCAAGGCGGATGCCAACAACAGTGGCTTGTCTCCTCTTCATGTGGCATCGCTCTGACTTTCTCTTCTGATCCCTTCTTCCACTTCTAAGGAGTCTGAGATGACCTCGGGCCCACCTGGATCATCTAGGATGCTTTCTCTATTTTGAAGTCAGCTGATAACCATCTCCATTCCATCTGCAACTTTAATTCCCCGCTGCCATGTAGGGTAATAAATTCACAGGCCCCAGAGATTGACATGTGCACACCTTTTGGGGGGTGGTGGTCATTTTTTTGCCTACCTACCCCAGTAAGAGTTCCATCACTGTGGGTTTTGCCATCAATAAAAAGAAGATTCTAATACCTTGCCCTGGGGGCTGTAGGAAGACAAAGGAATGACACTAATATTTGTTGAACACCAAGCAGGTGCCTTCACTACTCTCAGCACAGAGTCCTCTCATCCCTGACACTCCGGTGAGACTGCACGCGGGGATATGACTGGGGCTATCAGGGCACGACTGACAGCCAGGTTCTCCAAAGAAGCAGGTGCACATGAGGGTAGCAGGTGGCCGTGAGCCGTGCAGGGACCTCATCCCTGACCTTGAAGCCACCTTGGCCCTGCCTCCCTCACACCTCAGCTAATGAACAACAAAGGAGAGCTGCAGATGGCGCAAAGCGGGTACTGTGGCAATCACCATTCTGCCTGTTTCCTTTCCACTCGCTCTGATTGAACTATCCCAGTTTCTGACTGGCTCCTGACCATTGGCCTTGCCTCCCACTGCTGTGCTTTGGCCTAGGAATTGGCATTTGGCTACCCAAAACTCTGGCTTTCAAAACTCCCTAAAGCTGCAGTTCTATTGTCTTGGGGACGGGGGAGGGGGTTCTCATCTGAGAATCCGATGAAACCTGTGACCATGCCCCAGAAAATGCACACTGACCCATGCACGGAATAATCTGCCTTCAACTTCATGGGAGTCATGAGTGGTAGTATGATGGAAAGCAGGGGTGGCAAACTTTTTTCTGTAAAGGACCAGTAGTAAATATTTCAGGCTTATGGGTCACGTGGTCTCAGTCACAACTACTCAGCTCCGCTGTGTAGGGAGAAAGCAGCCGTGGACGCTATGTAAATGAGTGGGTGTGGCTGTGTTCCAAGAAAAATGACTGATACAAGCAGGCAGCAGGTGCGTGGTGGTTTGCCAACCCCTGGTGTAGCCATAGCACAGACTGTGGATCCTGGCCCCTCCATCTACTAGATGGATGAGTCTTAACTGCTCTGAGCCTCGGTTTCCTCACTTGTAAATGACGATAACAATTCCTACTTCATAGGGTTGTAGTGAGGAAAGTAGGAGTAAACCTGTGTCAAGCCCTCAGAACAGTGCTCAGCACTCGGTAAGCTTGGTGAAGTGTCAGCTAGGGTCTGTCTGCTGGTCAAGAGCCTCCGCCTCCAGGAAGCTGGCTTTGATACACCTCTCTAGCTCATCTGAGTTGCTGGTATCTGCCTCATGGGACACAACCCTAGCCGAACTCAGCCCCAGCTGGGAAGGACAAAATACAGTTATAATTCTGGATGTTCAAGTCCCTGCAAACAGGATGCTGGTCAAGGCCGGGGACAGAGAAATCAGGCCCCATGCCCTGCAGGGGCTGGCAATGGTTAGGGAAAGTAGCCCCAGACAGGTGGGCTAGGATTCAGGAAGGTGGCAAGTCCTAGCAAAGAACTAGAAAATGAGCCAGGAGTCTAGAGAGAAGCACCATTTTTTCTGTCTGGGCTGACATGGCAGGTGAGGAATGGGAATTCGTCGGATCTGGGAGACCATTCCAGACACGGTATGCCGACCTCTTGCAGCCAGACAGACCCCATGCCGTCTCCGGAGCTGAGTCTGCACATGGCAGAGTCTGGGCCCGGGTGTGGCCGAGCTCTCCGCTGCGAGGGCCCGGCAGGCAGGGGCAGCCAGAGCTCAGTGTGCGCACACACTCATGGAAATCCAAGAGGATGTGATTAGAAATTATGCAGAATGAAAGCTTCTATTAAAGGTCCGAGTCTTTATGCTCCAAGCCAACCATATAAAGAACATGTGAAAAACTCACTTTAAGGAGTGACAAATGTGTGTATCTTAGGAACCAGGATTTATAAGTGCCATTATGTGCTACTTTAAAACAACCCTTTAAACCTAGAATTCTGCCTAGGAGATATAATGAACTCTGAAGCACATGCCATCATTTCTTTTCCCCTGAGAGCTGACAGCCTGGAGCCGAGCACCCGGACTTCTAAATATACACCTCACTGTTCACACATAAAACACAGTGTTTCCACACATCAATTTCTTGGAATGAACTAGCTGGTCGACCCTGATGATGTTCAAGTGGCATGCTTCTCCCCGGCACGGATGTACCAATGGGAATAGCTGGGCTCGGCAGGGAGGAAACGTGGCCCCTTGCACTAGAACAGTCTGCAGCCTGACCCACCCGACACCTGCAGTAGCCGCACCTCTGAGGTGCCGGGGCGGCTTGCAGAGAAGTCCTGGCTTTGGGAAACCTGCAGCAGGAAAGAAGCCGGGAAGGGCCGTGTGTACCTCTCCTCTGTAATACCACTCTACTCTCTCCTCTCCAGTCTCAGCCTCTCCACAGCAGCCTGCAGCCTGGCAGCATCTTTCTTCTGGTCATCGAGGAGCAGCCCCGTGCTGGAATGCAGTGGCTCCCAATGTTAGTGAACATCAGGCTTACCCAGAGGCCTGGTGAAATCACAGATCGCCTCTGGGCCCCACCCCTGGAGGTGCTGACTCAGCAGGTCTGGGGTAGAACCCGAGAATATGCATTTCTAACAAATTCCCAGGGGACGCCAAGGCTGCTGCTTGGGGCCCTGCTCTGGAAACCAGGTTGTAGAGGTGACTGAAGTCCCAGGCCTCCTTCTCGTCTGGCTCTGCGGCTCATGCCCTCCATGAGTGGGCAAGTCCCCCCTTCTCTTTAGGCCTCAGTTTTCTCCTGGGTGAATGCGAGGGGTGGGGGGTGGTAAGATGAGCGTAGGTCCTAAAATGCAGTGATTCTAGGGTGTTTCAGATCACAAATTCTGGCTCACACAGGGACTGGTGGCTTCCCCTTTGAAGGAGAATGGTCAAGGGAACCCTTTTACCTCGGTTCAACTCTTGTATCTTATAAATAAAGTCCAGAGAGGTTAAATGACTTGCCCAAAGTCACACAGATCAGTAGCAGCTGATTCTTAGACTAGGAAAGGAGAGAAAGTCCCCGAAGGCCCTCATTCCCTGCTCAATGCTCCCTCTAACACCCACAAGGATTCCGCCCCGTAGCTCTGGGAAAAGGCAACCGGCTTGACCAACAAGGATTTCCAGTACCTCAGAGGCAGCCAAGCCCTAGAGCCTGAACCTTGGGCGAACCAGGGAATCCCCCTACAGAGACTCCTCACCAAGGCTGGTGTCTGGATCCAGATCTAGAGAAGCACCTGCACCCCGTATGTCAGGCCAGCACAAAGCTCCGAGGTGCTCTGCAGGTCTGGAGGGAGAGGACATTAATCATAAGATCCAGGGACTATTAAACCAGGCTCCTGGAGGAGGGCAGAGTTCCTGGTTTGCTCTGTTATCACCAGCTATATCCTCACACATGGGCACACACACTCACACACACACACACACACACACGAGTCATAGAAGGTCACAGCAGCCTGTCCTGAAAACAGATTCCTCTAGTCCCAAGCGGCTGCTCACCGCATATAGCAAGACCATTAAAAAGGCGTCATTTCAAAGACAAGAGAACACTTGTAAAAACAAACTTTGAAGAAGAAATATTATGGGGCTCCACTCTGGTTCAACAGCCCCCATCTGAATCTTCAGTGCAATTTAGAGCAGAGAGGGATCTCAGGGGCCAGGGCGTTGCTGGGTTCGGTCTGTTCACAGGTTCCTGGGTGCCCGGCCGATGGAGGTCCCAGGGCTGGCTGTGTCATCACTTCTAGCAGCTGCTGGCTCACTGGACATCTTCTCATTATTGTCCCCAGCCATAAATCTCCTAGCCCTGGCAGCTGTGCTTGTATTTCAGTGAAGGGAAGTGGATTTGTCCTTCGAAAAAGTTAACATGTCAGCCCCCCCGAACCCAAGCCCCTGCAGGACTCAGAAAGGCTTTGAATCCACGTCAAAGAAGCCATCAAAGGAAACAGGCCATTTTCAAACAAATTCCATT